AACCAAATTCTACATCCCAGCCAACTTTCAGAGCTAAGGTCAGTAGAGTACAAAACTCTGCTCAGCAGGGTTAGACAAGTGGAAAGGGGTGGGTAACAATTTGGCTGAATAAATGACCAAGTAGTAGGGGATTACAAAAAACTATTTAAAAAACAACACTTCTGCATTTCTATAATCCAGCAGTAAATAAAAGAAACCAGAAGCACTGGTGGTGAGGGTTGGCAGGTTTCTGATGGCAATGGTTGGCTTTGCTTTTTAAATAGCTCATTGATTTTGGACTGCATCCATCTCCAGCATTGTGACTACACTTCATATAGTAATTTACTTCAAACCAGAGTGTGCTTCTTCAGCCAAGTCTTTGTTTTATAAATGTCATAGCACTTCAACACCATTAACCAGTCACCCCTATTCCAAGCTGATATTCCTAAATTCAGTAAAAGTAAGTATGAGCAACACTGCAACTGAGTCAAATGAAAATGGAGACTGTATTTGACTCTCCATAGCTCTGAGTGCCAGTGTACTATATTACTTATTTCTGGGAAAGTTCAGGGCAGTTCATTACTGGGCTCACTAATGTTATCCATCCCAAGACCCACAGAAACCAGACAGTCATTCCCATTCCCCATGCAGGCTGTTATACGAAAAACTTTGCACTTAAGGACTTCATGGATCAACTGGGCATTAACTTCCAGGCATTTTACTGACAACCAGGAGTCCTGGGCTCCATCCCTGCTACAACTAACTGTCCTCTCCACTTCATATCATTCGTGTCCTTCCCAGTTGCCTTACTGGATCAGGCCAAAACAATGTGCAAGCACCACATTGTCAGGGCAACTCCAGCTATTAGAAACTGCAAGGTGCTTTCCCAACTATCATTCCCCATTCCATAGAAAGCAGAAGGTAAGCACAGCTTTGTCAAACCCCTTGGGTTTGGAGTGAGAGGAACAGTGCTACAAAGCTTCCCTGGTATAGCTGTGAGAACATGAGAACACCTGGTCCCACCACCTTCATTCAAGGTCAAGTGAATGCTATTTCAGAGAAACAAGACAAAATCAGTGCTTTATGACCAACCTATTTTCATTCATGAAAGTTTTCTCTTAAGAGGCTGAGTGAACAATTCCTGTTGCTTGCTGTAAAAAACAAGTGCAAAGAACAGTAATTTATTTGAACTCCTGAGCTCAACATTTTTCACCACTATCTCTGACAGCTGCTAATTTGGTGACTGAAAAGTGATGTACATTTAAAAGTACCTTGTTCTGTCCCTCTGCAGAGACCATCAGCAGAACAAATAAACTACCACTATCTGGATTCTCATTACCTCAAATTAGCTTCAGCATAAGATGACAGGAGCAGAGGCAAGCTATCTGGGGGTCCCTTAGGGGCACCTGTTAGCACCACATAAAGGACGCAGAAAAGGGAGGCCAGGTTCTCTCTGTTGTCTGCTCACAACAAAGCCTTCCTGTCAGACCATTAATACCTCTTCTGACAGCAACTTTCAGCCTGCACACCCACAGCACTTCTAATCCACTAACAATGAATTAGTTGCCTTACTTGGAAGTGTCCCAAGGAGTGCAGGGACTGCATAAGGGAATTGGGGGGGGCACGGTTAGCAGAAGGATGGCTGTGCCAAGTAATATCTAGCATCACCACAAAGACATAAATCTAAAACAATGCATTTGATTACATGCAAGCTTCAAAAAATATTGGGGCAAAAAGTAATAAGTTTAAAGGAGAATCTTCGGGTTATTGAAGGGGAAACCACTTAAAAAATGAAAGCATCTCATTTGTCATCCATTTAAACAGGCCTCCTGGGCCTTTCAGGCTGCAGCCACAGGAGAAAGACAGAAAGGTAGGCGCATCTTTGGATGTGACAGACTGATTGGGTCCAAAATGCATCCAAAGCAAAGGCTCCTGTGTAGAGCCAGAGGGCGACACGCCAGGATCGTTACAACAGGCACAATGTCCTCAGTTACACTGCTCCTGTTACAGTCTGGAACACTTGCACACCTTCTGCACTTACTCCACCTTGCCTGTGACTCCATTTGGAGCAGAGAATCATACATCTGTCGAGTGACTTACCATGGCTATGGCTTTTAGGCTACACCATGGACCAAAACATGAAGAGAAAGTAAATCCAGCAGCTTTCCATGAAACCCTGCCCCAGGGGCCTGTTTACATTCAACATGCCAAACACCAAAGATTTTGTGACGCTGTATGATTTCACTGGAGCTGATTGCGATGAATTCCTAAGCAGCCAGCTGGCCATTTCATTCCTGTCTCTCTCCCTTCTTCCTGTCCTGTGACTAATGGGGAGGGCATTTGGCAGCCCATGCCAATGTGCCTCCTCCTACTCAAATGAGATGTATCAGCAACAGCACTGGAGACAGGCATTCCAGCAAAACACACCCAGCAGAAGCTTGATTTATTAAGTGTTCAGGCAAAGACTGGCTTGCTAATATTGAAAAGTTTAAATGGGGAGAAACAGTGGGGTTGAACCATAGTGCTAAAGCTGTCCATATGTATGGATTGGGCACTAGCCCAAATACAACAAGCCTGCCCACAGCTGTGGCACACTTAATCAAGTCTTAGACTAATTATTTTGCACATCTAAATCTGTGAAAATTGTCTTATTTCAGCTGTGGGCAAAGCTACTTAAACAACATTTTCAATTGCAAGAAGAAAAACCAAAACAACATTTCTTCAAGACCAAAATATCCACAGCCAACTACAGCACTGAGGCAGTGCAGAGGCAATATTTAACCCAACTCATATCAAAACTCCTACTCACACGAGAAAGGTTTTTATTATTAATACTTTTGGCATTTGCAGGTCCTGAGAAGTGCCTTTTTACTTTTATCAAAGCATAGAAGGAAATAAAGAACTCAAAAAGAAAACAAAAAACATTCTCTCTGGGTGTCTTCCCTTCCAAAAAAGTCGATCTCTTCCCCCTGAAATTTAATTCCCACCACTATGTTCTCAAAGCTGGACAGCTGAAAATCCATTTATTATACCACAGTACTCTTAAGAATTATTTCATCAGTAGGAGTATAATATTAATGGTATTGTCTGCTTTAAGTGCATAAAAATTAGTTAACACTTCTTTTCCTCAGCAGTAGGCAGCAAGGCTAACTCTACTGCTTTGCTTTGACTACACTAAGAGTACTAAAAATTCTGTATATAAAAATAAATTGTGCATGAAAACTGTACAAGTAAACACTATTGCATAGAAATTAATAAAGTGCTATTTTTTAGCATGTCTGAGTCAGTTCTCTCTGCTGCAAGGAACATGAAATCTGAAAGGTGTCTGAAAGCTTCTAAAATCAGGATGCTCTTTTCTCCGACTGTAAAGTGTGCTGTTGGCACACTCACTTTATCATTCAAAATAGCAACAAACGAAAACACTCCAAAAGGACAGAGTTAATTCCATGCAAAGATCTTCCTTCTCAGTAAATGTCTCGCACAGCACCACTCTTAGCAACAGAATGTTTATCCAGTACAAGATAAAGAGAGAGGCTTTTCACTGACACCTGGGACAAAACCAAAGAACAAAAGCAGCTCCCGATGCAAGAGAGCAAAGTTAAATTTTTCAAGTGTTCCCACCTAATGTAGACAGAAGGCCAGGCATAGCAAGTTACAACAAACAACCTATTCACCCACTTCCAGAGAATGCTTGTAAATTTAAGCTGTGTGAAATGTCTAACTACCTCTTTCATTCCATCAAAAGGCTTCATCAGCAATGGACAATAAAGCCACTGGCTTGACCTAAAGGGGCTGGTAGGTTAATCTATTCTGACCTTATCTTTATTCAATCATAATACTGAAAGATTGCTTGAATGAATAACCAGCACTGAACAATGCCTACAGCTGCTCTTTCACTACAGTGCTCCTCTGAAGTGCCCTCCAAACCAATTTTTTAATCACGGGGAATATTAAACATTTTCAAAAATTAATTGTAAAATAAACCAAAATGCCATTTCTCACTCATTCGTCCAAAACAGAAAAAAAGAGGTAAAAAAAAACAAAAGCAGAAGAAAAATTTTATCTTGCCCCTGCATGTCTCTTTCAGATTTCCATCATCATTTATTGTCAATTTTAGACTATACTATCTCTTCTTAACTGTCAATCACACCTTTTACTTCTAGTATTTTCACTCAAATGGAAGAAAATAGACAAAAAGAGCTGCTACTTAATAAAACCTGCGTTGTAACAACAGGCTTAATCATACAGGCCTCAACACTTTGTATTTTAATAACTACTGGTTTGTTTTCAAAGCCTATTCCATCAGGGCACTCAGCACTAAACACAGCAAAGCAGCAAGTCAAAATTTAGCACATTCTTAGGCCCACAGAAGTCAGTAAACTGGATTCACCAGTCAATGACTGATTCAATCACTCAACTCTCATATGTTTACATATGTCACAGCCTATGTCTAAATGCCCTTCTGGAGAAAGGTCTCCAGAGCTCAACACGACAGTGCACATCTTCCTCCTTGTAACAATACAATAACCACCTGTAGGAAGAAACTCCATAGACTGACATGACCCTGTTAGAGCAAGGTAGTAGTAAAGCATTTTGACATGAAGCAAGAGCTGTGCTCTCATTTGACATATCAGTTCGAGCACTTACTCTTCAGCATCAACAAGCAAATGCATCTTCATTTAATGTTCTACACCTGTAAATGATTTGGCAAAACACAAGGGAAGATAAAAAAAGTACAGCCATCAGGCACCAAAATGACATTTGAAAATGCCATTAAAAAAAAATCCATGCCAAGCCCAGGAACAAGGTCTAAGTTTAAATCTATTCCTGATCAGATTTAGGCAGATGCTTGAAATATCAGTCAAGACTAAGTGCCATTACCTTTCTCCAAAAGCACAAAGAACAAGCAAGTCAACCACACGGCAGTGACTACAGCATGCGACAGGAATGAAAAATAAAAGGTAAGAGTTTTTCCTTTGTATTGCAGAGAATACTGCTACAAACTACTCAAAAGTTCCTACCTTGAAAAGCTGTGATATGACCAACAATCATGTACTTTAGTTCGAAGTTCAGTGCCTGAATACTTTGAGTCCTCTCTCTCCGAACAGCAGCCTGGTAGCTTTCTTCCATTTTTTTGGTGCAACATGTTGGTGCCCTGTGTTGACAGATCTGTAAATCTGACTCTTAAAGCAAACAAGAAAAACACAGCAGTTAGAAAACCTTTTAAACTTACGCCATAAAAACAATGCTTCTTAATGTCAGAACTACGATCGTTTAGATTCTGAAATAAAACCAAACCCGCAAGGAATGACACTGTGAAACTCAGTTGCTGTCACAAGAACATAAATTTATGACCATTTCATCTAAATTTGGGTAACATCACACTATCAGTTAATAAGTTATTTTACACTGTTAAGAGCACTGGGCAGAAAAAGCATCTGAGCACAGTCAAAGTCAAGGACAACAGAATTACTGACAATACATTTCCACTGTACACCTTGTGCTAACGGTATCAAAACTTGAACATGTGGGTGATAACCGTGCCTCAAATTAGGATCCAATACTCACCGCCTTGAGGAATCACCTACTCACCTCTTACACTAGGGGAACCAGCTTAAAAAAAAAAAAATCTTTGAACTCCTAAGCAGCTCACCGAAAAAAAACCAAAAAAAACTGTAAAGGCATTGAAATCACTCCCACCTTGCAACTACAGAGGAAGTTGAAAGTCAATTAAAAAACTGATTTTTATAGGATGTTTTTATTTTGTTTTAAATAATTCCATCTTTGTACATGATTCATTAAGTTTAGTACCCTTAATTAGGAAACCCACATCACACAGAGTTGTGAATGGACATTTAGGGTCTATCTGTTCTACACCATAGGATTTACAGGTGCCAGAAAGGATCTGGTACAGACTGCAGATGAGTATATTCTGGTGCTTCACAAACACATGTTTTAAGAAGGGGATGAAAGAAAGCAAGAGACTATTAAATAAACTAGAGGCACATAGGAAATACCAGAGCCAAAACAGTCACATGATATTAAGAAGCAGATATTTCCACTGCAATTTCTCAGTGGAACAGGAACATCCCAGAAGGAAGTCTCATGCCAGTGTCAGGTGCTTCCTTCCCTCCACTTTGAGGCAGAAATGGTGGTCCTGAGGGAACAGGGTTGCAGGTGTCCACCTCCAGCCCATCTCTCAGGCTTTAAGGAGACAGCCTTTCCCAGGAAAGCCAGTGCCACACAGATGGCCAAGATCCCCCTCCCACCCCACCAATGGCTCTAGGGGCCATTTTAATGCCCAACAGCACAGGGTGGCACAGCCCAGCTGGGTTGGACCCCAAGCAGTGCTGAGACACCAGCACCCTCCCTGTGCCAGGTCTGGAGCTGGCCTGTCCCCACACTGCCACCTCTCTGCACCCTCTCTGCTTCTAAAACACTGTTAACACCACTAGCAGTCCCCTTCTCAGATGGAAACAGCCCCAGTTCTCAAAAAGGCCATAATTCCTCCTCAGCATTTCTCACTCAGGCCACTGCAGAGCACTCAGGCCAAGCCCCGAGACAGAAACATTAATGAACAATCACACTGCACTAACTCTCACACATGGCCTTGCAGGTTAACACATGGCAATGCTCAACACAGAACTGACAAGGATTGAAAACAAGAGGATGCAGACTGAAAAATCTGTAGAATCACCCAAACGACCAGGCTCTGCTCAGAGCCAGCTCTAGGTCATCAGCAGCTAACTGAGATCAAACCCGCAGAGAGGAGTTAGTAAATCTCCCTTGTCAGGAAAAAAAATAAAAACACCAAGCTGGCTGAAACATCTCATTCGACTTGAAAATGTTGTTTCCAGTTTATAGCAACTCTCATTTAAAAGTGAGGCTAATTTGTGTCAAAAAGGTCAAAAGCAAAGGGAAATATCTGAATTAACCACATTTTTGTACCAGTTTACAAACAAACATCAAAGTTTTCACCGACTGAGCTAACTCAGGATACCATTTTGGACGTGGATTTGTTTTACACTTCAGTCTAATCTCAAAAATGGGAAACAACAAGTCTCCCCAGTCAGATCTGCAGTCCCAGACCCCACTGAAAGCCCAAGATAAGACCATTGTGCCCTGGCAGGAACCAGCAGGCTGCCAAAAGCAGCAGCAGGAAGGCTGCACTTGTCACCAGCTGGGCACACTCCTCTGTTCCCGCCTGCCAGAGAAGCTGCCCGAGGTTGAAATTAGCTTCTTGGCCAGGCTAATTTTAACTTGGGCGGGTTCCCTGATCCAGTTCACCCCCTAACATGTTTGTTCTGTCACAAGGAACTGGGGGCCAGGGAAGGACCACTTCTCTGAGCTGGCACCACAAAGCATGTGTGAAATTATAGTACAGGCTGCTGAGCAACTCAGTGCACAATCAGATATCCAAGCAGAGGGGTTGTAAATGTTACTTGGCACCTGCAGTGCCAGGCTGCTGATACTCAGAGCACTTCTCCTTACTCAGCAGCCCTCTGAATTTTTTGTTTGGAAGGCTTTTGCAAAGCTCAGACCTGTATCAAAAAGGTCTGAAATATCAAGTGCTCCATGCTGACTGTGTGCTGGCCCTGGCTAGGAAGCTCTCCCTGGCTATCAGTGCTGTGCCTGGTGCTCCCATTTGAACCTCAGGAACCTGCTTCTCCTCCAGAAAGCTTTAAGAATACAGATATCTCAGCTGGAACTGCACTCCTGGGATTCCCCGCCCAACTATCTCCTCCAATGAGCCTGAAGATTAGGTTTCGTTGGTCCAGAGCCAAAACGATACAGAAGCCACTCCTAAATAGAAACAGCACTAAGCCCCTGACAGTTAAGGAGCCTGATGTAAAACACAGAGCACTGAAAGCAAACTCCCCTCCCCTCACAGTACTGTCGGGTCAGTGCTGTCATGCATAGCTTGGCACTTTCACTGGCTTCAGAACTAGCCTGAGGGTATCACTTTTAACACAATTATAGAAACCTAATAAAAGTTTTCAGTACTATACATGCCTGGGTGCTGAGATTAAATTAGAACTCATTAGTAATGTCTTAATGTCTTTAATAGCTCTGATACTAATTTTAGTTTATCTCATCTCTTTCATCTTAATAAAGAATACCCTCTCCAAGAGGAGAAAAAGAGGGGAGGAACACAGTGACCCAGCAGTGACCGAGGGACTGAGCACCCCACAGTGCCGTGGCAATCACCCCTGCTCATATGTGCTCTGCATATCAGGAAAAGGGAGACAACCTTAAGGGCAAACTCCTCTTCAAGTTTAGGAACAAAGTCATTCTTTACACCAGAGAAAAAGCACCATTTGTGAAAGAGGGAAGAAAAATTACCAAGAGCATCATTTCAGTGATAGATTCTGCTAATTTCCCTCTAGGACTTTCTTACCTGCTTTTCCCAAGCTGCCTCTCATTTCCTAACTCATGATTTAGTTTGGAGGAACCTCTAGTTCAACCCTTTAAAGCAGGATTTTTTTATGTAGGATGAAGCCCTACACAAGGGATTCATCCAGCCAAGTTTCAAGTACCCCCAGAGAAAAAAAAAGTTACTACTACCTTCGTGGTAATATAAGTGAATTAAAAAATCCTATCTAAAGATAACTTCCCATGTTCCAACTCGTGTCTGTTGCTTCTCAGCGTATCACCGTGTGCCTGCAAGAATCTGACTCCACTTTCTCTATTTTCTGCCAAAAGGCAGCTGAAGACAGCAGTATGACCTCCCTTAATCTTCCCTTCAACTGAACAAACCTAGCTCTCTATTCCCTCATGTTCCAGCCCTGACCATCATGGGAGCCCTCTGCTAGGACTCTTAACTTTATGCCACAGATGTGAAGCACCTGCATCCCAAGACACTCCTCTCTGTATTCTATTTTCTTATGCATTAACTTACCGACAGAGCAGAACACTTTCACCTGTACATGCCTGGGCTTCAATTCCAAAAGGTTTATAGCTTTCCTAAACCAAATTAGTTTTCTGCTTCAGATCAGATGGAAGGATTACTCTGCTTATTATGTACATTATTTTTCCACTCAAGTCTTTTTCCCTTGAGTGCTGGTTAAAACTGTGGCTCAGCTTATTTTTTAAAGTGAGAAAAACTACAGACTTTAAATCCTTACTGTTATTATAAAAAACAGGATAAAATATCTTGCTCCACTTTGAAAAACAAAGTCACATTCAGAACAGCAGAAAAAAAAATGTACTACCTGAGTCTAAAGAATGAGTATTTTGGAGAGAAACAATGATCCCTATTGAAAACTCCTCTGCAACACCAAAGCATTTAATACATGCCAAAGGCATCACCTTCAGACACCTCCCTGTCAAAATTATAAATCACTTAAGGTGCCAAATGCACAAAAAACTACACATCTTTACTTGATCTCCAGCTGGCCAGGTCTACTGAAATCAGCTGTGGTTTATTTTGTTGTGTGTTGCTTGGAGACTTTTTTATTTTAAATCAAAGTGTTCTGGGCTTCAGTCGGAACTCTGGTACCAATAAAATCTAAGACTTTGGCCATTAAAGTTTACTCAATCAGTATAATTTCCTAAAAGCAGAGAGGCCTGTTTAGCACGCAAAATTAAGTTCTTCCAAAAGCTGAATATATATTTATTTTGTTGGCTGACGGTGCAGTTTAACAGTTCTGTCTTTAAAATACTGCACACACTGTAAAAGCCATACTCTGAAACCAGAACAACAAGTAATCACACAGTAATTGATCTACCTGCATTAACTTTTTCAAAGACAGGCTGATTTTGATTTTTTTTTTTTTCCAAACAAGATGAGCCTTTACCTTGCACTGCACAGAAGAGTCCTGGGCACGATCAGAAGGTGAGCTCAGTGCAATCTATCTTCTGATAGTTTTTATTCCTTTGTATTTGGGCAAACATTTCAACGCTACTTCTAAACAAAGCTTTAGTCCAAAACCAAAGATTTTAACATTGTACAAATGTCCTCAAAGACTCCAAGATTGGTTATGCCTTAGTAACAGAGAGGAGGGTGCCAAAGGTCCCTTACATTGTATCTGACCCAGTTGAACAGGAGCCAACGCTTCATCCTTCTTGAGACTCATCTGTCTGGTGTAGCTGCTGCCTCAGCTAGAGGAAAATTCAGCAATTAAATGCAGACTAATTCAGGGGAGAAAGCCAAACCAAATGAAAAAGGAAGCAGTTTTCAGCT